CCTGCTGGCGTACATGGTTACTGCCATCCAGAAAACTGCCTTATAGAAAAGCTGTGGTGATCAATATTTATTCTGTCTACCTAGCCTCCATCATTTATACTGGATAGAAGTTGTTTGACAGAGGTGCCTTCTAAAAGGAAAAAAGATATGGGATAACTTTCAAGTGCAATTTGCTTTTACATCAAAGATATCTAAGTAATAAATGGTTACTGAGCACTCCCAGGTGCTAGTCACTCCTCCAAACACCCTTGGATGAAATGATCTTCACAGTAACGCTGCGAGGGAGGTGCAGTCATTTATCTGCATTGTATAACTAGAGGTTGTAGCCCATAGTCTAACTGACCAAGGCCATACACTAGAAAGTGAAGTAATAGCCAGACATTTTACAGCCCTGTAAATGTCTTCAGAGTAGTAACAGGGAGGCTGTGCATTTAACTCAGAACCTGCCATTGCCCTAATATTACGGAGCTCTGCTTTTGTGAAAGAGTTAACTTCTTTGTGTCATGGTGCTTTTTGACACTTTGGTGAAATCTGTGGACTCTTTCAAAATTGTTTTTAAATATGAAAGATAAAATGTATTATAATAGGAAATTGATTAAATTGAAATAGTTGACAATGTTAAAGATTTGTGATATGTGCTTCTTTTTTTGAGAGATTTTTGCTATAGTGAGCGTGAGCTTGCCAGAGAGAGACAGAGACAGAAAGAGAGAAATCACCCCCCAGGGGGGATGGTCACACCGCAATCCCTTCTCCTCCTTTCTCCTCTCGGGATCTTGGGCATGCATGCACACATGCCTGGCGTGAATTTAAACCACCGGGTCTGGGACTTGAACCGTGGTCGACTATATGGGAGTCCAGCAACATAACAAATTCTTACCAAATATAAATAACATTGCCAGGCATTATACATACTCAACATTTTATTACACATAGCTTTGTTGTGTAATTTTCATAGCTATCCTAAGTGGTAGGTGTTATTATTATGACCTTTTGGAAAGAAAACCTAGATTCAGAGTTACTGACTTGTCCAAAGTCACACAGTAAGTTAACTAACTAACAAACTAACCATATATACATATATATATATATATATATAGAAAGTGAGAAATCACACCCCAGGAGGTATGGCCACACCGCAGTCCCTTCTCTATTTTCCTCACTGGATTTTGGGCATGATGTACATGTGCCCAGAATGAGTTTTAAGCCACCAGGCCTGGAACTTGAACCGTGGTTAACTATGTGGAAGTCTAGTGATGTAACCATTACACCATCTGTTGGTCCCATCTAACTGTATCTTAACCGTAAAAAATTGAAAAGTTACCACTGATTGAAGTATAGCTTTGCCTAGTTTTTCCTGATTTTATTTTCTTGCTCTAGGATTTTTTTTTTTAATTTTTTTCCAATGTAAGGTATTTATTTTGTTGCACCTATTTCGCAATGAATTCATAAGGAATAGGTTTCAATAAGTCAGGCTCCTTGCCATTGGTTCTCACCAAGCATGCTCTGGGTGGAGCAGACTGGAGCTTCAGTTAAACCGGGTCCCTTTCTCTTTGGCTTCCTTCTTTTTCTTACCATTTTCCTTAACATGTTTTAAGAAGCTATCTTTGCTCTTGGAGTGGTTAATATGCTTAATTCTTACCTTAATTATTTGGCAAGAATCTTGCCCATCACTTGTTTGTTTACAACAATGCCAACAGCATGCTGGCAGCAGTGTGGACTCTTCAGTTCTGCCATGGCAACATTTGTGGGGCATTCCTTTTTGAACATTACTCATTCCCTTGATATCCACAGTATTACCTTATTAGCAGTTAACATGTTTGTGGCCAAAGGATCAACTCTTACGTTTTCTAAAAGGCCTACAGAACATACACTAGGTACCTCTCCTCTTTCCTTTTATGTTAACCATTTTGGCAAATTATTGAGAGATGGCAGTTTCAGCCAACAGGAAGACAGTTCTGGAATTTAAAGTAAAAGGGGTTGTCTTCTTAATGACACTTCGTTTTAGTCCCTTCTGTATCTCCTGCTTTCCCACATTCAATCACAGCATCAAACATTTCCTCTGAGCATTACTTCAGGGAGAGATGGGTTTCTTCTAACCAATCTTCAGAAATCCAAACAAAATTCAAAGATCAGTTAATGGAAAAAAAATTATACAATATATGACAAAGGGCTAAAAACTTTAAAATATGAACTATTATAAATCATTCTAGTAGAAAAACAGGCAGACTTCATGATTCAGAGAAGGAATGTAAATAGCTATGTGAAGAAATTTATAATCACTAGCAATTGAAGATAAACAAAATAAATGAAATACCATTTTCTATCAAATCAGAAAGTAATGAAAAATGTGGCACATGTAGTTTGTGGAATACTACTCAGCCATAAAAAAGAATGAGACCCTGACATTTGATTCAAAGTAGATGATCATGGAAGATTTGATGCTAAGTGAAGCAAGTCAGACTGAAAGACAAGCATGTCTCCACTCAATATATATTGAATGTCAGTGCTCTATAGCAGAAACTGCAAGACTGAGAAGATAATAGCAGGGAGGGCAGCTGTAGATACTAGAGACAGTATGGGGGCTATTGGGTGGAAGGGATCAGGGGATCAGGGAGAAAACAAAACAAATTTAGTAGACATAAAAATGAAAATTGTCTGCTGATGATAATGTATATAATAACATTTTTTGGCTTGACTACTGTGCACTATATTCATGCTGGGAAAAAACATGCTGTACACTATAAAGATATACAGTGATTTGGGGTCAGCAGGTGGCATGGTGGTTAAGGGTGCTGGACTCTCACATAGGTGACCACGGTTCAAGTCCTGGGTCTGGTGGCTTGCTTTCTCACTTTTCTCTCTCGCTTTGTCCTCTGGTCAAATTAAATAAATAAATAAAGCTAAATAAAATAATTTTAAAGAAAGATAATACAGTTATTCAATGTAAATAAAAATTTTAAAAATAGGCTACAAAAACATAAAAGGAAAATACTTATAATATCCAGTACTGATGGAGTATACATTGATATAATAATGGTGGAAGGTAATTTGGCAGTATATATTAAAAACATTTTTAAATGATCATACTCTTTATGTAGTAGTATCACTTTCTAGGAACTGTAGGACAAGAGAGATGACCGAGGATTTATTTATATACAAAATTTTACATCTATTTATTTTTCTCTGTGTAATTTAAATCCTCAATAGGATGAACTATTGTTATTATCAAGCTCTCAGACTGGAGCCTATAGCTTACACTAATTGCTAGACCTTGGCCATGTTACTCACCTTGTCTGTGCCTCAGTTTTCTCATTTGCAAAACAGGAGCAATAATAGGAACTTACTATCTCAGAGACTTACAAAGATTAATACACATGAACCACTGAGAATAGCACTGGACACATTGTAAGCATTATATGACCATTGCCTATCATTGTATTTATAAGTATTCAAATCAGAAGCCAGCCAGTGGTATGGTGATTAAATTGGCTGGATCCCACATTCCCAACTGCGTGGTTTGAGACCTGGACCCAGTGGCTTGAAAGAAACACCAGGCATGTGTGTACTTGCCCACAGTCCCAAGACAAGAATGGAGGAGAGCAGATTGCAGCATGGCCATACCCTGGGGGAATTATTTCTCACTTTTCCTCTCTTTCTCTCTCTCTATGGCAAGCACACACATTCTATAGCAAACTAAAAAAAAAAATCATTTAAAATTTTAATGAGGTAAAATATGTTCGTGGTACAAGTTTAAGTAAAAGTACAAGATGTGTACTTCCGGTGTGATCACAGCACGAGCATACAGTATGTAAGTTTAGCGAGAGTAGGGTGGTGAGCTAGCCATCTGGCTACCTCCTCTGTTTCCTGAAGGAAGAAAAGTATATCCATTTAAAAAGCAGAACTGAAAAGTAGGTAAGTTACATAAATTGAGGAATGAAATTTATATTTCATTTTGTTTTGGCAATTGTATAACAACTACCAAGATTTTAATAAACTGATGAGTATAAAGTAACATCAATTCTTACATTTTGTAGTGTTAGTGCCATATCCAACTAATTTATGCCCTTGACATTTTAGTCTGGCTACTTTAAAAAAACAAGGGCATATGTGTGTATATGGAGTGTTTATAAAGTGTGTACACACACACACACATACAAAATGTACAAAAATTAATGGAGTAGATCTTTGGGCAGAGGAATTAATGGTCATATTAATTCTTTTTTATATTTTATCTGGATTTTCTATAATAAAAATATATATGTGTGCATATATTTTTTTTTTCTTTTTTAAGAATGAGGTTTATTCAGGCACTTACGCTGGTCCATAGTTGCATACGAAATGTGCTCCATTGGAAAGACTTTCAAAGCCATCAACTCTAGGGCAAAATTGTACTGCACAGCCAACTTTGTAACTTTGTGCCCAAACAACCTGAAAGGAAACAAGAATTTTTAACAGACAATAAAATAAAGCTTTAAGTGGATTAGGCTTTTATTAACACGAGGAGGTATATTTGCTGTAGATAGAGCACTTACCACCAGAGAAATTTTAGTGCTCACAATTAAGCTGGAAATAAGACTTGTAATTTTTATTGTGTGTACAATAAACACAATCGATGGCTAATTTTTGATAGTACAATGAAGAAAATGTGGGTACTATGATATAACTGGTGAGGAAGATGAAGGAAGACTTTAACTTGGGTGTTCAGGGTGGACTTTTCTAAGGAGAAGGCATTTGAACTGGGACCTGGACCGTGGGGTTGTGGCACTCGTGACAAATGTCCAGGAGACCTGATTGTGGAGGAAGGGTATTCCATGCAGAAGGAACACCAGGGCAAAGGCCGACATGGATTCACGTGGCATGGTAGAGTGGCAGGAAGAAGGCAGAGCCAGGAGCTAATGAGCAGGGGAAAGGTGTGCGTGATGAGGTCAGAGGCAGAGGAACATGGGATTTCTTACAGGAGGTGAGTGTTCTGTGGGTTCTTTTTCACATCTGAGAAAGATCACTTTGGTCCTTATGAAGTAAATGGGCTGAGCAGAGTAAGGGAAGACTAGGGAGGTCATTTTTGAGGTTGTTTCAGTGGGACAAGGAACAGATGGTGAGTGGCATTTGGGTGATGGCAGTAGTTTTGAGAACTGATGAGGTACATGGCTCAGCCTACATGTAGAGGCGAAAGAGTTCTAGGCCTGTCTCGGACCTACAGATTTTGCTTCATTCTGAGCGTGGACTAAGAGGAAAAGAGAAAACATCTTACTTTTCCTTGAGCCATATCTACTGAGGTGAAAGGAGCAGGGCAGGGCCTCCGTTCAGCACATGCTAATTTTGAGACAGCTTGGGCATCCAGGCATAGACGAACTCAGCTGCTGGATAAAACTCTGCAGTTGAGAGGACAGAGTATGGCTAGAAATAGAAATCAGGAAGACCTGGGAGTAGGTTAGATCACACAACCAACCACAATAGATTAAAAAAAAAAAAAGTAATAGAGTTTCTGGGATTAAGAAAACAGCCAGTGAAGCACACGGAACAGGAGTGGTTGGTAATGTAGGAGGGAAAACAAGACTATAGCCGGGTTACGGGAGAGTACCTTGTGCTGTCTCCCTGGGTCAGCACTCAGAAGAGCCCCAAACATGATTTAAATCAATGCTGTTGGGATCAATAGCTGGCATGGTGGTTAAGGTGCTAAACTCCCACACGTTGACGGCGGTTCGAGGCCCCGATCCAGTGGCTTGAAGATCACACCAGGCACGTGTGTATATGTGCCCAGAGTCCTGAGGAGAGGTGATTGCGGAGTGGCCATCCACCCTGGGGGTGGTGGTAGGGGTGATACCTGCTTTCCAACATTCAATCTCTACCTCTTTCTCTCTCTCTGGCAAGTACACACACCCTATGACAAACAACAACAAAAATCTTAAAAATAAATAAGTGCTGTCAAAAATTGAGCACCTTCAGTAGTACTTTTCCCTTGCTCTCTGAACAAGGATTCTACATCTTCATCTGGCACTGGCACCCACAAATTACATAATCCATCTTGACCAATAGTGTCTGGTGTCATAGAAGCCTAAAGAATGTTTAAAGATGTATTAGCTGGGCACATGCCAGCAATTACCTGCACTTCTTTTTAAAACAACACCAGATTAGATTTTAAATTATTTTTAACTTCTTTTTTGCACAGTTTTGTGACAAGAATTGCACTAAGTGTGGGAGGACACAAAAGTGAATGAGCTATGGCTAGTGCTATCTTCAGAAAGCATGGGGGGGGGCGGGCAGCAGATGGCATAGCAGTTATGTTACTGGACTCCCACATGGTCGACCATGGTTGAAGTCCCGGACCTGGCAGTTTGAAATTCACATTGGGCACGTATGCTTGTGTGCCCAAGATCCTGGGAGAAGAATGGAGGAGAAGGGATTATGGTATGGCCATCTCCCCTGGGGGGTGATTTCTCACTTTCTCTTCCACTGTCTCTGCCTCTCTCTCTAGTGAGAACATGTGCTCTAAGGCAAAAAAACTCTTAAAAGAAAGAAAACATAGAGAAAGGCAATCATGAAATCATTACGCAAGAGTTTTGACCATCTCCATCTCAGGACGCTTCTCTGAGAAAGTGAGGTTGAGCTGGGCTGGAATGAACTAATCCTAGAGCCAGAAGTCTTCCAGGAACACCTCGTGTGAGCCCAAGCTGGAGAAGACCCATTCATAGAACTGAAAAGGTCAGGATTACTTTAAAAATAAATACAATAAAATAGATACAAATCACTCACTCTCAGGAGAGAGCTTAAAGTGAGAGAGGAAAGGAGCTGAAGATGGAGCCTGACCTTCTCCAAGGTTCTAAGGTGGGGCAGCAGTTGGCGATGGTAGTGGCAGAGTGGAGGTAGTGGCAGAGTGGGGAGGGCTGCTGCTCTGAGCAGACTGCTCTTGCCTTGTCAGCCAGAGGGGCTGGGAGGGCGAGAGGAGGAGTAATGCCCTCCTCTGGTGCCGCCTCCCTGTCTCGTCATCTAAATGGAGTATTCCCCAGGAACATTCCTCCATGTGTCCCGTGTGCCCAGGTATCTGCCACAGGCATGTCCAGGCTGAACAACAAAGAGATAGTTTAGGATTCTGTCTCACTGAGAGAGCCTAGCTTCTCTGGGTCCATTCTGGTTTGATTCCTTCCTTAAACTTTTACTTTTTTACTTTCTATTTTTTTTTTTTTTAAGTAAGATTTGTTGCTATAGGGTATATGTGCTTGCTAGAGAACAGAGAGAGACAGAGGGTGAGAAATCACCCCCCAGGAGGGTTGGCCATGCCACAACCCATTCTTCTCCATTCTCTTGGGATCTTGGGCACAAATAATTTTTTGCTATAGGGTGTGTGCGCTTGCTGGAGAGACAGGGAGAGACAGAGAGACAGTGAGAAATCACCCCCCCTGGGTGGGGGGGTGAACACACTGCAATTTCTTCTCTTCCATTCTCCTCTTGGGGTCTTGGGCATGCACATCAAGTGTTGAGTTTCACGTTCCTGTGTCTGGGACTTGACCACAGTTGGCTATGTGGGGATCCAGCACCTTAACCACTCCACCTCTGGCCCCTATCATTTCTAGGGAGATTTCTAGGCCTATCTCAGACCTACTGAATGAAAGTTCCTGGAATTGTCAATTCTCATGCAGGCTAATTGGGCTTGATGTTCCTTTTACAACTGCCTTAGTTCAGTTTATATGTTCTGTTATTTGTCTTGGACCACTTTTCTCCACAGTGCTCTCGTATCTCAAGTATTCTTAATTGATGGGTCCCTGTGCCTTTAATGCTCCCCCCCACACACAAAAAAATGCGCAAATGTCAGTGACTACTCATTTTGTATTTCAGTTGATCTCTGTTTTAAAAATCTGGTTAATTAGGGTATAATTAACGTACACTAAAAATCATTATTTTTAGGCATACATTTTTATGAATGTTGGCACAAGTGTACAGTGGTGTAGCCACCACATTAAAGATATAGGACATTTCACCACCCCAAAAAGTACCCCTGTGCCTCTTTGTGATCAATCAGCCTCCACCCTCACCCCCAGCCCTTGGCAATCACTAAGCTGTTTTCTGTCCCCCTGCTTTTGCCATTTCTATGTTAAACGGAATCAGCTGAAATAGAGCTTTTGCATCTAGCTTCCTTCACAGCATAGGCATTCGTTAGGGGGCACTCGTTTATTACCGAGTAGTAGTTACTGCATGGAGGCACCACAGTTCACTTATTCATTCGTCTTTTTGTTTGTTTCTTTTTTAAATCTCACCCTTTTTAATGTCTATTTTGTTAATGGTTTAGAATCATTAATTAAATACAATGGTTATTTGTTGGTTAAATGGAACACACCTATCTGCTCCAAACAGTTGTAGAAGCGAGAGAACATTTCAATGATTTTTTTTTGTTTTGAATGAAATGGGATTAACGTACAAGATGATCATTCTTATCCCCATTTACAGCACTACCTTACAGTTGATTTTCTGTTATATTATAAGCAAGTTGGTCTCTTTTTAAAAACTTCACGAGCATTCAGATTTTGGAATAAACTCGTGTAGCTACAAAGCCTGCGTCGATATTCGGACTCTGCCACTTACTGTGTGACCTTGGCTTTAGCTTTACTATCTATTAAATGAGAAGAACAATACCAACTCCAGGAGCTCATTCCGAAATTTAAGCGAGCTAGTAATAAAGTGCTTAGAACAGCTTCTGGAACACAGGAAGCATTTGGCAAATGGTTATATTTAATTCCTTTACCACTTTCTACAAAATTTCTTTGAGGGACCAGCAGTTAGCGTAATGGCTATGTCGTTGGACTGCCATGTAGTCGACTATGGTTTGAGTCTTGGACCCGGTGGCTTAAACTCACAGCAGGTGCGTGTGCATGCGTGAGCGTGTGTGCGTGCCCAAGATCCAGAGAGGAGAATGGAGGAGAAGGGATTGCGGTGTGGCCATCCCCCCTGGGGGGTGATTTCTCGCTTTCTGTCTCTCTTTCTGGCTAGCGCATGCGCCCTTTAGCAAAAACTTCTCCAAAAAAAAATTTCTTTGAAAATTTAAAATCTTTTATTTTCTCTTGGGTAGATTTCTGTTATTTGTTTTAATTTCTTTTCCTATGGTAAACCAAATGCACAGTTACATTAAAAAAGAGCTCCCCATGGAGAACTCAGTGTCAGGTGTAGTGTTAAACACTTTACCATTGTGTTTAATCCCTAGGATGTTAGTGCGTTGGTTTTTATAAGTGAGGGACTGTAACTTAGGTCTGCCTGGCTACCAAGTATAGTGAGGATGGTCCATGCCGAAGCAAGGTGCTTTCAGAGTGATTCCCTTTCAGAAAGCCCTTTAGTACCAGGGTCAACTCTATGCTTTCTAATATAAGCACTGCATCTGGGGCTCCCAGGTGGGAGCGACGGGCCTCTCCCTTCTCACTAAATGTTCTCTTCTCACTAAA